GAACCTTACATATCAGACCAGAAGAAGGAGTTATGGGATAGTAGGTATCTACTGCTAAACATAGGATAACTTTATGGAAAAGACTCTGACAGGGAAAGACAGCAGGGGGTGTTCCCACCAAGCATTCTGTCACGTAGCTGTTTTAAAGCATTCTTCAAGGTCTGCAGAAATCATCAGTATCACCTACTAGTAACCAAAACACATTGGGATTTTTTTTTGCACCTGGGAAAAAAAACCAGGTATCTCAAGACATTGAAAGGTGATGTTGAATACCTCCTGTTCCTTGACCAATTATGTAGAAAAGGGAATTCCAGTAGGTGTAGCTTGGCATAACACACTGAAACTCTCTCTTCTGCACTGTCCTCTTTTGCATCTGGCTATCCTAATTGAATTGAATGACCCCATAATACAAAATAAATAAATGAGTAAGCAAGTAAGTAAAGTAAGATGCCATTTATACAAGGAGGCTCTTGGTGAATTTTCAGTGTGGTTTGCCTCGTCAATTGACCAGTGTCCCAGTCTTAGGTCATGTCCTTAACTTTGCTGTTCATGCTTCACTTACCCATTTTGAAAACATGTCTTATTGGTCTATTTTATAACACATGTCATAGTGTATTATTTGTTTCAATTTTGATATGGTGACTGATGTGCTAAGAAAAAGCTTGAAAGCAACTTATCGGGTTTCTTTAGCAGATGTCTTGAACAGAAATGTAAACAACCAGTTGATGTCCCCAGTAGCAGATAAGAACCACCTCCAGCCAACTGAATAGAGAAATATTAACTGTTTTAAATTATTTAAACCGATTTCATTGTCTGAGATTCTTGGGTATAGTGTAGGATACAGATATTTTGCAAAAAGTGAATGGTGTTGCTGTTGCCTCTTTTTCATTTTAAATCATTAGTAAAGTATAAGAAGAAAGAAGAAAGGGGCAGACTTCTGGGCTGTGATAGTCCTATTTCTACTTGGTATCCTTTTACTGCTGAAGCTTGTTTTGGAAATGTCCCAGAAAGTTGTTGGGTTTTTTAATGGCTGTGAAGCTATGTGATAATGTGGGGCATTTCTGGGCCACATTTTCAAAGCATGCTTGTGGAGCACTGGGATTGCCAGACTTGCTGGTGTTGACTTTAACTTAAGAAAGAAAAAACACACACTCAAAAAACCTTCACCTACCTTTGTATGGTGCCATCAATATGCAGATTACACCCAGTTCTATTACTCTTTTACACCTTAATCCAAGGAAAATGTTTTGGTTCTAAATCTGTGGCTGTCATCAGTAATTGAATTGGATGAGGTTGAACAAATTGAAACTTAAGCCAGATAAGCTATACTGGTCAAGGACCGAATAAATTGAACTGAATTGAATTAAGCCAGATAAGACAGAGGCAGTCCTGGTCAGTTAAAAGGCAGATCAGAGTATAAGAACACAGTCTGGACTTCAGGTTTGCAGCTTGCATGTACTCCTGGATTTAACCCTGAGCCAGGAAACTTAATTTCAGTGGTGGTTAGGAGTGCACTTGCACAGATAAGGCTGTTTGCCAGCTGAACCTACTCCTAGAGACATTGGATCTGGTCAAAATGATACATGCCTTACTAAAATCCCATGTGGATTACTATAATGTGCTCTACGTGGGGTTGTCTTTGAAGAGTGGTCAAAAACTTAAAAAGCTTCCAAAGAGGCACAGCCAAATTGTTAACCCAGGCTAGCTAAAGCTAAAGGGAACACACAGCTCCCTTATTGTGACAGCTTTACTGACTGCCACTGTGTTTCTGGGCACAATTCAAAGTGCTGGTTATGACCTATGAAGCCAATTTGGTTCAGATCCAGGTTATCTGAAGAACGTTATTTCCCATATGATCCTGCCCATGCTTTGAGATCTAGGGAGGCTTTTCTCTCTGTCACCTTCACAGGTACATCTGGTGGGAAAGGGCCTGCTCCCAACCTCTGTAATTTCCTTCCTAGAGAGGTTAGCCTGGTGCCCTCCCTGCTATCATTTCATAGGAAGATGAAGACCAAAATCAGCTTCTGATGGCTGATTTCTCAGGAGGGGAAAAGACCTCTTTGTCTTTTAACTGATCTTATTTCTACTGTTAGTTTAATTTTTTTGAAATTTTTGTAAAATATGAATTTTTGAAGCTCTATCTCTTTTATCTTTTCTAAGGGCCTTTACAGATTGACAAAATAATGCAGCTTGAGGCCACTTTAACTATCCTGGCTCAGTGCTAAGGAATCATGGTAACTGTAGTTTATTGTGGCACCGAGAAGGCTCAATGTCCCATGATTACTTAGCACTGAGCCAGGACAGTTAAAGTAGCCTCAAGCTGCACTATTTGTGGCAGTCTGTAAAGGCCCCAAGTCACCTTGAGTCCTAGATTGGAAAAAAGTGGGATATAAAGAAATACAATAACAATAATAAGCATAAGCATTAGTGACCTATCTTCACTTGAATTTCACACATCACTTCAAGATCTTTGGGAGAGACATTTATGTCCTTGTCCTCAACTCAAGCCTCTGAGGTTCAGTTGGGTGGAAACCACATTCCTCCACTTTAAAAATCAACACTTTAAAAATCTGAAAGAGAAGGCTCAATGTCTCCGAAAAAATACAGTTCCCATGATTCCCTAGCACTAACCCTAACCCTTAAAGTGGACTCAATTTGCACTATTCTGGCAGTCTGCAAAGGCCCAAAGGTTACCAACTTATAAGAACTACTGAAAACCAGCAGGAGCTGTTGGTACTTTGTTGCCTTAAATCTAGCCTAGATTATGGGCACTGAACCCTTGAAATGTAGTTTTTATTTTAGAATGCAAGTGTTAGACAAAGATTCAATAAATGCTACTGAGGGATCTTGAAGAGAGTTCCATCTGTGATGAAATTACACGGCGTCTGGACATTGTGAACACTTAAGATGATTTTGCAATATTCATGCATGTTGATGAGCCCTTATCTCTTCCTAAGGTCAATGACATTTCCTAGCAGTCTATTTTAAAGATTTCCAAAGGGTGAGATGAGGTCTGAGATGAGATCACCATGGGAAATATTGGCAACTAGATCAGGCAGGAAGTATACAAGCCTGCAGCTCATCCCCAATAGAGGTGGAGAGAAAATCTCTTGCCTACAGGCCTGGAGAGTGGCTGCCAATCTGAGCAGACACTAGATACAGCTTTTGGTCCTCCAGGTGTTTTGGATTTCAACTCCAGTAATTCTTAACTGTTGGCCAAGTTGGCTGGGGCTTCTGAGATCCAAAGTCCAAAACAAATGGAAAACCAAAAATTGGGAACCACTTCACTAGATGAACCAATGATTTGACCTAGTGTGAGAAATCTTTGCACATGTAGATCTATATTTTACATCAGGGGGTAGGCAACCTTTTTGAGCCGGGGGCCAGGTTGCTGTCCCTCAGACAATTGGGGGCCGAAGCATCAAAAATAAACAAACAAATAAATAAAAAATAAAAATATTAAAAAAAAATAAAAAAATAAAAATAAAAAATATGCATGCACACTATCTCAGCCCCAGAAAAGCCATGGCAAAACCCCTGTGGAGATTTTGCCAGGAAAACCCCAAGAACAAGTAATAACAACAATAATCAATATCATCATGGCGGGCGGCAGCAGCGGTGGGAGGAGGCGGCGGTGATGGCAGCAGGACCGGTCTGGGGCTAGTCCAAAGGCCTCAGGGGCCACATCCAGCCCCTGGGACTTAGGTTGCCTACCCCTGTTTTATGTAGAGGAAAAAAACACCATCACCAACTACAAAAGAGTGGGGCTCATTTCAGTAAATCAGTTTCTACCACTGACTTCAATTCCCTCCCTGGCACACACTGAAAGTCATAGCAAAAAGTACCAAATCTACTTTGAACAACAAAAAAGGTATACTCATATTACTGTCTACTGTCTTTTGCATAGTCCATACTTTGTACCAAAAAAAAAGAAGAAAAAGAAAGAAAGAAAGAAAGAAAGAAAGAAAGAAAGAAAGAAAGAAAGAAAAAAGAGTCCTGTCAATTTAAGTAAATCAATGACACCTACCATGGTATATTTCCTTCAATATATTGATGATATGGTTCCTGCACAGGATTACAATTTGACCATATAACACAGTCATATTACAACACTAAACTGAAAATCTGTGAATCAATAGTGTGAAATAGCTAAACTACAGTGGCAAACTGCTCCAAACTCTATATTAATGAAACATATTTTTCCATGTTTGTTTTTGCAAACGTAAATTAACTCAATTATACTTTGAGAAAATGAATGAAACTAAATGTACAATTAACTGAAACATTCACAATTTAAACTGGAGTGCTTTGGGATAGCTATCTTAAGTAAGCAGTCTAATATTCTGAGTTACTAAATGTCCACTGTATGAACAAATTTCAACAGAGAAAATACAGTAGGATGTGAGGTAGGGCAAACTCATTTCAGCTGAATGGATAGGGAAGACATCATGTCCAGCACACATTTAAATTGGCATTATTTGTAACTGGGTACCAGAAGTTTCTGAATCAAGAAACACCTTGTTATGCAGTGGGGCATGCCTGTTTCATAGGAGGCATTATCTTCAAAGATGTATTCCTTCTGTTTTAAGATAAGAGAGAAGGCCTTTTTGTAAGAAAAAGCTTGCCATTTGCAGTTTTTATATGCAGTACCATTACAATGCACACATGCAGAATGCTTTGGGGAAAACATTTTTAAAGACCTGCAGCAGTTTTAAAGAAAAACTGTCGCATATTGGGGATTACAGGCCTGAAGTCTGTTGCTAATCCTCTACCTAAAGTAAACCCATTGAATCAATGGGATTTACCTATGTATTGACTTTCCACTCAACAATGTAAGTTGGGACAGGATTCCAGCTATAATTAATTTCATAAAGTGCTGAGATTTCAATAGGAAGTTTGGCATCTTAGGTTTCACCATGAGACAACAGTACTATAACAGCACTTTAAACAGGTTATTTTAAACCAAAAAGTAAGATGTTTTAATTTCAATAAATACATATGACAGCATGGTGTAGTGGTTTGAGCACTGGATTAGAACTCTGGATATTAGGGTTTAATTCCCTGTTCAGCCATGGAAACCCATTGAGTGACCTTGGGCAAATCACCCTCTCTCAGCTTCAGAGAAAGGCAAAGGCCTCTGAACAAGTCTCACCAAGAAAGCCCCATGAGAGGTTACACCCAAAATTACTTGAAGGCACACAATAAACAACAAGCCAAAATATAAATATGACAGGTTTTAATTTGTAAAGTAAACATGACTCAACTCGAGTTGGGCAATTTGAGCCCTTTAGTGGAACGTGCAGCTCTTTCCTAATTTTGTATCAGCAGTTGACATAATTCAAAAAGGCTTTACTATCAATTAGTTCAGCCTTCCTGCAAGACACATCTATCTATTCCTCTCCCAGCAGTGGATAGGAAGAGGGAGGGGAAGAGGGGAAAGTGAGTGGCAGAAAGAACAAAACCAGGGGTATCTCCAGAAACCCCTGCCTCTGATGCAGTTCACCTCCAGCAAGCACCTCACATACCCCCAAGGCAATGTGGCTCCAGCTGAGAGGGGGACTTCCAGTCTCTACTTTAAGGGGTAAGTTTCCTTTGCTTATTCAGCTCCTTTTGACCCTCGGAGGAAAATTCCTTCCCTCTGATTCACTTGAGTTTCTTTCCTTAAATTTCCAAGTTTAATGCAGCTGCTGCTTGTCCCTTCAATACAACTGAGAAAAAGTATAAATCTAACTGCCTGTGACCCTAGATGAACATTACAGTAAAAATACCGGATAAATCACATTGACAAATGATTTACAAGCGAGAAAGCAAATACCCTTCTTCACAAACTGTAGCTCTCATTGCAGTTTTCCCATTGTATTCCTTTCATTATCACACTCTTTCTAAAGTGATTACAGAAAATAAATGGTTGCAAGCTTCTGCCAACATCTCCTTGCCAGCTACAGAACAATAACCACCATAAATGCAAGCCCTCCTCTCACCAAAAAGGTCAACAGTAGTCTTCCTACTATAGAAAATAAGTTGCTCCTTCATCAGATGGAAGATGTGATACAAACTCAATGGGATTTTTTTTGATTGACTCTGAATTTCTGTGTTAGAGGAGAAGCAAGCTCCTTAGGCTCCACATCAGACATTCAATGTTTCTGTGAAGACACTAAAATTAAACTGATACCACTTTTTTGTTGCAAAGCATAGTAATCAAGTTACTTCTGGGGTTTGTTCTGTTTTGGGTTTTTTTTCTGCCATCAGAAGTGACCAGTAATAACCAAAAAGTTTACAAGCAGGCCATAATGGTAGCCAGACACTTGTCATTTATCAGTATAACACAAAAGATATTGTCCTTTTAGCCAATGGTACCCACCATATCCTACCAATGGCTCTACCTTTCCATGGAGGTTGAGGGGTGGGATTGTGTGTCCTGTGAGGCAAAAGGCTAGCTAGGTTGACAGCAGCAATGCTGCAATGACTGACAAGCATCTGGAACAAAGTAGGGTGCTGCAGTGCTGCTAGTAGCAGAGGACAGTTATGAGTAGCACTATGGGTAATAACACAGCTGGACTTGAACAGAAAGGATGTTCAGCTATTGACATGCTCAGAAGTGAAAAGAAAGTCTGAAGATGCACAACATATATTACAGAAACAGAGAATGTGAGAAGCATGACTCAGAGGAAGCTAGACACAGTAAAACAAAAAAGAGAATATATAAATATTGCAATTCTTGGGGTGAGCAAACTAAAGTAGACAGGAATGGGACATTTTGAGCCAGGAAATGAAAATCTAAGAAGAAATGGGGTAGCATTAATAGTGAGTAGAGATGTAGCAAAATCAGTCAAAGATATAACACAAAGTCTGAACTGAATCATATCAATAAGACTTCAAGCAAAACCCATCAGTATAACCATAATCCAAGTTTGTGTTTCAACTGCAGAGACAGAAGAAGAACAAATTGAAAGATTCTGTGCAAGAGTTCAGGAGGAAGTTTATCACACACCAGAACAGGTCTTCTTCCTAATCACAGACAATTAGAATGGAAAAGCAGAAAACAGCAGAATCAAAAATTGTAGGATAATTTGGCCTAGGATCATGAAATGAAGCAAGAATATTCTTGACTAACTGACTTTTGCAAGGCCAACAGTTTGTTCATCGCAAACACATTCTTCAAACAACCCAAGAGATGGCTGTATCACCTGATGACTAATTCAGAAATCAAATAGATAACCGAAAGCGGAAGATGGGGAAGCTCCATTCTCTTTGCAAAAACAAGGTCAGGAGCAGGTTGTGGTACAGACTATGAACTGCTAATATCAAAAATAAAATAAAGCTGAAGAAAAATATCAAACCAACCATCATGCCAAAATGTAACCAAAATGTAACCCTGTAGGATCTAAAGATAATGCAAAGTATAGATTTGCACTATTGAGCTTGATTGACCAAGAATCAAAAAATCTGGACTGAAGCCAGGGATATTGTCAGGGAGGAATGCAAAAAGATACTATCTGTATCCAAAAAGAAAGAGAAGCCTCAATGGATGACAAATGAAACTTTTCAAACAGTTAAGAACAGATGAGGAGAAAAAGTAAAAGGGTCCAAACACTGAATGCAATTGTTCAATGATTTGTGTGCAGGGATCAAGAAAACTACTTTAACAGACTATAATATAATAGAAGATGGCAACAAAAAAGGGAGAACAAGAAACCTCTTCCACAAGAGTTGAGAAATCAAAGGCAATTTTAAACCAAGAATAAGGATGCCATACGTCGGTAGGCATGACAGTTGTTAGGTGCTTTATTCTGACCTTTGAATTCGCAGTGGCGGCAGACATACCAGGCAGCTTAGTGAGACACTCCTGCAGACAGCCACCATGATGTGGGAACGGAGGGCCGGGATACTCTGGGCTGCCTTGGAGTATCCTGGCCCATGCAGACAGGGACACAGAAAAAAAAGTGCAGGTTTGTTTTGTGCTGTCCCAGAGGGTAGGGCCAAGTCTGATAGTTTTAAGTTAAGGAGAGTAGATTTCAACTAAACATTAGAAATAACATCTTGGCACTAAGAGCAGTTTAGCAGTGAAATTAATTCCTGAGGTCTCTTTCTCTGGATGTCTTCAGAAAGAGGCTGGGCAATGAAGTGCCCTATCCAACTCAATGACTCAATAAAGCAGTCCATAATTTCTGGAAAATTGTTGGTGACACATACATGCATAAGCTCCCTGCCGTATGGTTTTTAGTTTATTGTACAAGGAGGCATTCAACAATGAAACCCCCATACAACCATGGCCATGTCGAATTGCACCCTGACAGCCAATTAGTGTTTAGGGGGCGGTGGGGGCACCTGGGCACTGCCCAGCTGTTTTTCTGCAGCCACATAAAGAAAGAAAGTACTCTCCTCCTGCATCTATAGCACACTTATAATGGAGATCTAGGAAGAGGATGTCTTTTTTTTTTCTCTCTACTGAGGAACTGCAGATGAATACTGCTTAGGTCTTCTCTGTCCCTCCCGAACCACCCCAGTCATGATGGGCACACATCACATGGCCATGGTTGATTTCACTGGGGTAGAAGTGGGATGCAGATATGCTGGGAAAGCTTTATTCTCCACTAGGCTCATGTAGTATCACAGCCAGTCTGCCCTATTCAATTATCCATAGTGGAATGAATGTTTTGTGTTCACTAAATATAGTGGTCTTATAAAATTTAGTGGCATTCTGAAAAAGCATTTCTACCATACATGTCTTTGCCCCCATTTTAGTTTCTACACTCTAAATGTGGCTTCATCCAGCTGGAGCAATTTTGAGCAATTTTATACTGTCTTCCCTTCATCATGCTGAACATGCCCAACTCCTTCAAAATTTCTTCATATGTTTGCTCTCCATACCTATTATCCTAGCTGTACTTCTATGAACCCACTTGAACTTGTATGTATCCTTTTTAAAATGAGGCGGCCAGAAGTGAACACAATACTCCACATATATAAAGTACTCAGCACAATACTTCTGTTGTAGGAATTGCATATACACTACACACTGGTTCACACCTTCTTCACTATGGTCCAAAACTCTGCAGAAATAATCCAGTTTCAGACTGCTTTAACTTCCCTGGGTTAGTGCTATGGAGTCTTGAGAACTGTAGTTTATTGTGGACCAGAGCTTTCTGACAGAGAAGGCTAAATGCCTCACAAAACTACAGTTCCCAGAATTCCCTAGCATTGAGCCAAGGCAGTTAAAGTGGTCTCAAACTGGATTATTTCAGCAGTGTGTTTTGGACCTATATTCTTAGTGTGTCTTGTCTTTAATTTAGATTGTAACCTATTCTTTAGCTGAAAGGCTGTCAAAGTAGCTTACAAAAAAGGTGATATGACAACTCCTGTCTTCTAGTTTACAAACACCCCAGGGGTGGCATCCCACACTCTTGAAGGGATCATACAGGAGCTATTTAGAGCAATTGCTCTAAAAGACAAAACTCAGAAAGCAGACACAGGCTACAACATATTAAAGAACTAAGGGGGGATGCAGACCAGGGCGTCCAGGACGCCCTGGTCCGGAGCACCGCGGGGCCATGGCAGCCCCACCGTGGCGCTCTGACAGCGTCCCTGAAAGGAGCGCCAAATTGGCGCTCCTTTCATAAGTCAGGGAAAGTGTGCCCTAAAAGCGTAGGGTGCACTTTCCCTGACTTATCCTCTGCAGTGCGTCCGGTCACTGCGGAGGGAGGTTGCCTTGGAAGCGCCGGCCGTGCGGATGGCCGGCGCTTCCAGGGGCGACCTCAGGAAGAGGAAGGGGCGCCGCTCGTGCGGCTGCCCCTCCTCTTCGGGGCCTCCAAGACGACCCAATTAGTCGTCTGCCGAGGCCCTAAAGGAGGTTCATGCTACTCAGCACACAAAAAACCAGGTTCATTATCTCTTCTCTTCACCATTATTAAAAGAACTATGAACTGCATTTGAAAAATATGTCACATAGAGGTACTGTCTATAAAGTTGTAAAACCATATAGCACCCAAGATGAAGGTCTAAAGGTACCTAGGATATTCTATTACTGATTGAACACTTCCTGGTGAGCACATTTATGATCTTTCCCTGGTAT